AACCAATTTTTAAATAGAGATTCTCTCGATTTAACTAAAAAAATGCAATGGAATCCATTCTAATCCTTCAATTATTTAGTTGTTCTCCGTCAATATCTATCGAGAACAGAAAAAAATTGGGATAAAGATCAAATTTTATTTTAAAAACTACTCTTCCGGTCCTAATTATAAGACCCAATTGACTTATTTGAGGAGATTAAGGAAGTAAGTTAAGTTGGTTATTTATAATAAATAAGTGTTATCATTCTTAAAATATCCTATAATTAAGTATATTGCTAAAACTATCATTATTAGAAGGATTATCTGGAAAAAATGCATAAATATAAGAGATAAAATGGATTGGGATCTTATAATTAGAATCAAATAAAAAGTCAAATGGAATCTTATAATAGGGTCGAGAAGTATTATTTTTGGAATAAAAGGCGAGGCCTAAGCTCAGCTTCGCCGTGGAATGCAAGTGACGTGCGTGTTCCCTCCATAAAGTCAACTTGTTGAGATCCTCGACCTCCCAAGCCGTGTACCGTAACGCAGACTCCTTTAAGTAAACAACCAATAACTGTACTATATCAGTGTCCTTACATTTATGTTTTCCCCTCTAACTTTATTTTCACATTCATGCATGGCAATGTGAGAGAGGAGGCTCATGCACCTTTTGATCTCTGGTACCAATCTGTCTTTTCCAAATCATACGACTGTTTGGTGGTAAGATCTTACTCAAGTTTGCTTGGTTGCCAAACGAAACTCTGAATCTGTCACGATGTTTTTGTATAATCAGTATTAGCGTGTTCAATTCAAATTTCCCCTTTTTTTTTTGGGCCATTCATTGTATCCAGCCATGTGTCTCCTAGCTAAACTGCAGTACTTTTTAATTATTTTTTAGAATTAAAAAATAAGTAAAATTAATTTAATACAAAAAATTATTACAGCTTTCTAAAATTACCTCTAACAAAAATCAAAGTCATCATTTTAACTCAAGGCTCAAGCGTACGAGAAACCGATACATTTCAACACGTATACTGTGACATAAGCATGCATCCCTTTTTTTAATATTAGGGGAAAAAAACTAGTTGCACAGTTTGGATTAATTATTTATTGCTACTATTTGTTTAAATCGTTTTCGGATTGACTCAAGTCATCCAAACTTTATTAATTCAACGACCCCATTCCATGTCAAAGATCCAGAGGCTTTGGTTTCACATTAATACTAAATAGAAAATTCCGTAAACAAAAGGCCGGGAAGGGGCCTATTAAGAAGCGAGCTTTAGGGTCAACTCAAAAGACACGTGGCCCCCTGCGTAACAAACATTCTCTTTGCATCTTTAACTAAATCCGAAGAATTTAAAAATATCAGATTTTATGTTATTTCAATTAAATCCTGCTATCATACCTGGTATGGTATCTATGAAACCAAAAGGGAAGCAAAAGTTTAACAGGTCGTCAACAGAAATAGCTTGTTTGAGCCCTTCATTATTATTCCTAATGTTATGGTGTTAATAAGTACTAATGATTTTTTATTATTAAATTCTCCTTTGTTTTTGCCCCGATAACAATATGATTCTCACCGTAAGGCGTAAACCTCCAAGGGATCAAACCGATGAATGGTCATAAGGGGGACACTACAATGCAAACTAACCTTACTCTGTTATTTAAGTAGTTGGTGCATTGAACTAATGATTTTTACAAATTTACCGTGAACCTCAAATGGATCAAACAAATGAATGATCACAGAATATGTAACCAAAAAAGGAAAGTAAGAAATCCAAAGCAAGTCAGAAGTGAGGTACGAGTGTGGTGCGAAGGTGATGACGATGCCCTTGACCTCTGAGAATCGGTTCGGTCTTTGTGGTTTGATTTTGGCGCAGAGTGGTTGCCAAGCCCTGCCGCTACAGCAGGAGGCACATTATTTGAGTGTGGCTTCGCTGGAACTTCATCTTCAACGTCATAACCTGTTAATGGCATCAAAATATGAAGATTAATCCCACTCTACAACCTAATAAATTGGAGAAACACTTCATATATATATACACTAGTCACTTCTTTTTTCGCTATCTTCTGGATAGACCACAGGCCACAGTCACTGTGAGAAGAAGAATGACACTTGCAATTAAATTTCTTCCAGCCCAATATCAGCTTTTCTCGGTCAAAAACAACTCGGCAGCCCGTCATGAAGTTTTCTGCAATAAGCATCAAAACGAAGTGAGGGATCAAATTATGGAGAAAGACCCAAGAGAATCAGCATATATTTTACTCATCCGGTTCTTAATATATGACCTAATTCTTGAGTTGATTTTAGTTCTAAATATAAGACTCATTTCTCATATTTATTAATTTTCTCTAAATTATCCTATGGATACTCCCTCAACCATAATCAAGTAGAAGAGGGAGAGAGGGTATTAAGAAAAATGATTATGGTGTTTTAAGAAAAATGTGTCACTTTTCTTATAATTAACTAACTTACCTAACTTACTTAATTTAATCAAATTAGTTAAATGGGTCTTATATTAAGGACTGTAGGAGTATATTGTAATAAATTGGCAATAATTCACTGATTTAACTAATCAACACTCAGTTATTGGTATGCAGGGCAAGGACAGTCCCATTTTGTCACTTCGATCTCGTGTGAGTGGTCTTCACAAGTTACTCAATTTACTTCAACTTCATGGCATGCTAAGTCTATATGATCTAAGAAGTAATAAGAGGGAACAAAAAAAGGCAAAAAGAAAAACAACTTACGCTCGATTACATTTAGTTCAGTACTCTTGACAACTGCTAGGCAATATGCAAGTTCACCCTGCAAAATAATCAGGAAGCGAAGACACATGTGGAAGCCGGAGGGAAAAAACTCTGGTTGGTCGTGGCGTATTATGGTTACTGTAGTAATTCGGATCTTCACTCTTCACTTTCTACTTGTTTTCTGTTACTCAATTTTAACGGTTTAGATTTGACATCTCAATCATTATTTTTTTCTCCCAATATCAAGTTTAAATCTCCCAGACTTCATCTAGACACAACAAGAGGCCCAATAATAGAGAACAGAGAAAATGAGGCGCAGAAAAACCAGATTATGGTCTGATTTGGATTATGTACTCCTCTTATGCTCCCCAACTTCATAAGTATTTAGATGGAATTTGAACCGTTCAGCTTCTGTTTTTGGGGTGAAATTTCCTTCTTTTTGAGTTTTGACATTTGAATCTTTTTTTTTTTTTTGAATTATTGCATCTGAATCATTGAGGTAATGAGATTTGATATAAAAGGCACAAACGCTCAAAGACTTAAAATAAATTGAGGAGTCATTATGATTGATGTTCTTTTTGTTTTGGGAGATCATTACGCGGCCTACACTTTTAATCTGATGGACTTGATAATGATGACTGGTAAGCTTGTAGTATCACGTCTGTTGCAGCATAATAATGGATATGAGATTACTTTATGGAATTGTCCTGATTTGAGAAGCGATAAGATATTGGAATCTTTCTAGGACGGCACTACATTTTGGAGTTGAGTAAATAGGGGCCTTGGGTTTAAGATCCATGTGTTTTATTTGAATGAGTTGGAAGGTCACAGATCAGAACCAACGAAATCAACTTTTATATTTTCTGTATTGGATTCTTGTTAGCTAGGAATGTCTTTGGTGGTTAAGGTTGAGCTATCCAAGTTGTTATTTCTTTTGTGGCCAGAACCTCAAACTTAAATTGCAAGTCTTCAACTTTGTTATGACTTAGTCAACTGAGGCCTTTTCTATTAATATTATTTATTGTTATTTTCGTTTCCCATTTAATTGTCAATGTCTCAAATGAAGCTTCGTGTGTGTTTCAAGGAGAAATAGTTATCCGATATGGGTCCACTAAGCGCATAACCCGTTTGCCTGTACTAGAGGAGAAGTATTTCCTTCCTATGGTACAAAAATTGATTAATTAAGATAATCAATATCAACATTTATTATAATGAGGGTATTTATTACCTTTTCAACTCAGATGATAGGGATTTTTATTTATAAAGTTAAATTATTTTATGTTATTATTTTTCATTCAAAGTGTCCTTAAAAGTTGACCTTGACCAAGGGGAAAAAAACTTAGGCACACTGATAAATGACACATTGTCTATATGACTTAACCTTGACGAGGTAGGTTTGAATTCAACATGGATTTCAAAAATGAGTAATATCCATATTTAAAGCTTACCATTTTTCAATTAGAAAATATGTTTATTTTACATGTTATGTTTGTCAAAATAAAGAGATTAAAATTTTAAGAATAAAATCTGGAACATCTAATTTTAATTTAAATGATCAGAATAATTTGAACGAACAAGGTTTGATAGGAATCTCTCGCTTTTCACATGCAAACCTTATATGACCGGCTAACAAACTCATTTGACTCGACTTTTTCTTCCACTAAGTTTTGTTTTTGAATTTTCAAAAGCCGTGTAACCACAAATTATTATTATTTTTTTAATACCAAACCAGAAAATTATCATCAGAACACGAAAAAAGACTTAGAAATTGGTTTATGTCAAGTTCTCACATATGGTTATATCAATAATTAAGATGGAGACAAAAGAGTAAAAAAAGTGCCTGGATATCTCCAAATCTGAAAAATTAAGATAAACTACTTTATATATTTACTTCATATACTATAAAATCATCTTTAAAATCATGATTTGGTTTTTATCTAAATATCCCCTAAAATCAACCCAAAAAAACGATGGAAACTTTCCATTTAAAGTGGTTCAAATCAATCATTATTTACAAAAGTAAATGTAGGCTTATTAGATTGGAGGTAAAGGAATGAGTAAGTAGACAGGATTCAGATCAATCTCAATTCAGATGTGTGAAGAGAAAGGAAGCGTTAGTTCTTCAACCATGGTTCAATCCCAAAAACCAAGAATACATCATATCACTGCAACTAATCTTACGCATCAGAGCACAGAACAAGAATAGTTCAGCAAAAACGCAGATCACGGCCTTCGCCACATCTCGGAGCTAAAAAAGTGGGGAAAGAGACGATAGGAAAATATAGGATCTTCTATATGATTTATGTCTATGCCAATTACATTATTTTACATACATGGGGAAAAATTTTGTGAAGCAACAGCATGAGGCTTCTCTTTTTCACCCAGCCATAGTATTTTACCCTACACTTCAAATAATACAATACTGAATATATAAGAATGTGAAGAACATTCTCTGAATTAATTTTAAATCAAAGAAAAATGGATTTCAATATATATAGATGAGAACGAGGGATGGAGAGGCAGAACCTAAAGACTCAAATGTCAAACTCAAGTTTCACCGCTTGCTCTCCTTCTCTTCTCATTTTAGCTGAATTACGACTCAGAGGATTTGGATTCGATCAGAATGATTAGAAAATGGCAAATACCGGAAAAAGAACCAGTAGAAACGTAGCCACAAAAGGTTTGATCCTGAATGGGTGATTGGCTAGCTGCGGCGTCGAACTTTCAGACTGGTTAATCATGGCTTCAGGTTTTGCAGGACGTGCAGGAGAAATAGAAGGTGAAACAGCAGGCGAAACAACAGGAGAAACAGCGGGAGAATGGGTGGTGTTCACAGCCGATGTAATTGAGACCTTGTCATCATAACCTGAGGGAAACATCTCATTGGAATGTATAATTATTGATACATACATATATGCATATTGGTATACGTATATATGCAAAGGTTTGTGGCAGAAGAGGCAAACTATACTCACAGCTGGAATTCTTCCATCCCAGAATCATGTTATCACGATCAAAGACTATATGGTAGCCAGTCATGAAATTCTCTGCATGATAATGAAGTATGATGAATATAGCAATCTGAAGTGAAAACTGTTGACTGGCATTTATGTCTGCTATCCATCAAGCACTAATGCTTTTAGCAATGACTGTTTCTGGGAAAACATTGATGTCGTGTCTAGAGATGCTGTCGTTTTAAAAGCCATGATAATATGAACTGAATGAAAATTTTCATGATCATCAATCAGATACTCACGTCCTATGATATTCACGTCATCACTTTTCACGATGCCAAGGCAAATCACAGTGCTAAAAGTTTCATCACCCTGGAGACAACAAGAAGAATTAGGAGACTGAGAAGGGAGATGATACATCATATAAAAACGCGTCAGGTGCTTGTACAAATAACCAATAAAAACATTTTAAATTGAGCGTTTCAAAGGTGAAAACTATTGACATGTCTATTTTAGTTGAATATTAGGTGGGTTCTATAATGTATGATGTGTCTGGTTTGGATTTTGGACATCATAAAATGTGTCTAATTTTTAAATATATCAGGGAACCCAGCGTAAAATTGCGTTGCTTACAACTTGTGATCGTGCGGCTTTGTACAAACTTTGTTATATGTAGGATTTTTTATGCACCGTATGGTAAGTTTCTCCTCTGTTACTTTAACTTAACAAAGAATGTGTATAAACAATTCTTGGTATAACGTGCTAGTCAGATCTTCCTTACCTCAATAATATAAACAAGTGGATCAATAACATAATAATCGTCTCCCCCCTTCATTTTCAAACTCAAGGAGGGAGGTTCAAAACTGGTCTGATTGCTGCAGATCACGCAAATGTCAGGAAAATGTTAGAAAAATGAAAATTTGAACTGAAGAGTATCTGAAGATAAACCAACCTCGTTGTGTTTTCATAACAATATTCAAAGGGAATTTCATGATCAGAATCAAATTGATGACGTTTTCCTTTGACCATGGAATTGAACTGCAAGTTAACAAGAAGTTTAACGACTCAACAAAAGAAACGAGATGATGCCACAAAAAACGTGAACATGGATTACTTACACTGCTTGTAATGTTTGTATAAGCAGGATCGTTCAGGTGTGTAAATGAAGTTCCAGAGTCAAAAATTGCATTGAACTTGGAGTCCGTTGCTTTTGTTCCAACAATAATTTGAGTGATACTCGTGTTGTAACTTGGACTGACAAATTAGTTGCCAAGGAAAATGGGTATAATTAGCGTGAAAACTAAAAAATAGATGAACGATTTTCAAGTTTCGATGATGTCCTCTGCATACAATGTGAGTGGCATCTTCTAATATATCAAGATAGCTAAAGAGATTAATTCAGTTGGAAGGAAGAGATAGAAGCTCATCTTAACAATTAAGTTCAACCTTTTTAAAAGCACTGTGAAATTAAAATCTCAAATGCATTGATCAGTACAAGAGAATATGTCTTAAAAATCTCTTCAGAGAAAGAGTTTAATCTAGAACAAATGCCTCCATTGATTTAATGATCAATCCAGTTTGAAATCATTGAAAAGAATGACCACTTACTGCAATGTTCCAATGTTGATTGGTGTTTTCCTTTGGTCTTGGCTGCCATTATCTCCAAATCTTATTCTTCCAACACCATCTTGCCCAAAACACATAGAGAAGGAATTTGATGTGAGCCCTTCTTTAGCTAGTATGCTTGGAACTGATATATTCTCTATACCAAGCCCAAACAAACCGTTTGGTGCTGCGCCAGTCAAGAAGGAACCTGTTTGAACTTTACCACACCTGCAACAAATTGAACCACAAGCAGCTCCAACGAGCAAGAATCAAACACAAGCCATTGCAACCAAAATAACTTTTCATATCATCTTAAAAAACTGTGATTTCCATGACTACGCATGACATAACATTGGAAAAAAATCACTTTTCATATCATCTTAAAAAACTGTGATCTCCAACTGTGATCTCCATGACTGTGCGTGACTTCCATGGTAAAAAATCGTCCCAATTTCAATAATGTCTTGGAAAGTTATTTACCCAAAATTAATACGTGCCTCGACTTCTTTGGCCTGATCATCATCTGTAATTAAGTGCAAGATATCTTCCACTAGGAGTCCAGTTGATGATGTGTTACTTGTAAGATAGCGAACTTGATATGGACAACTGCTGTTAGATGAAGGACATTGTTTCTTATGCCTGCATATGGCGCTGTTACATGGAACATTCTTGCTTGTTGAGGATGCATGAGGATCGTAGATGTTAAGTTTCAGTCTCTGTAAAATGCAAGAATCAAAGAAATTAGCGTCTAAAGGACATTTTTAGATACCTCTCATAACTGATTATGCCTCTATACTTGTACAAACCTGAATCTAGAGCAGCAGGGAAGACATGTTGCAATGAAAAATTCAAGTGTGAATTTGTGTGACCGTGAAGACAGCAAATGATATTCAAGTATATAATATGTATTTACAAGTGAAAAAACATGAAAATCTGAAGCGAATAAGATAAGATGCAACAACACTAATTAGATCTTGGGGGTTTCAGGCAATGCACGAAGCCACAAGTCTTATTATAATCAGTGCAACTTGTCAAGAATTTTAGAAATTGATTAAAGATATATATACCTGTCCTCTTGGCGTCTCCAAGGCATGCACGCAATCCATTTTGGTACAATTGCATGGCAACCAGAACAAGTTGCTGCCAGTGTCTAATGCCACAAGAAACCATACAGGCGGTGTCCCAACAGAAACATTGGCGTAATGCAAACTGAATTCCACAAAACAGGCATAAACCATTACTTATGCGGATTACATGATTTGCAAGAAGTAACTTTCTGGAAAAACAAACGTGTCTCTTCTGATATACTACTACATGATGCATTATTTCCTGTAAAATGTTTACCGCAACATGTTTTAGTGGGGAGCCATTTTCCAGTCGAATTATATTCGGTGAACAAAAAAAGGTGATTCCTTTTATTTTTTTAATTTCAAAATTTCTTAAGATTCAGTTTAGGGACGGAGGGAAGAAGATCGGGTAGTGCCAGTTGAGTCTCCTATCCTTTTGAAATATGTAAGAATCCTTAATAAAAGGGGGCCGAAAGCATTCCCCCCTATAAATTACATGTAAGACTTGGATTTTCCAACAAATTTCTGCTTACGAATTAAATGCGGGAAATTTGAAATCATAATAAACAAAAATAATATTTCTTGACTTTTGTTAAAATTACATGAACCTTTCCTACACAGACATTAAAAAAAAAATTAAATAGAGTGACTCATCTTAATTTTTTTTCTTAAAGAAAATAATCATTATACTCTTCTGGTCCTATTTATAAAACACTTTTAGTATATTTCACACAGACCAAAAAAAACTTTAAAATACATTAATTCTCTATTAAAATATAATAATTTTTTAATTTTACCAATAATTAATATATACATTTTTTAAAAGAGATAATTACCTATACTATAATAAATAAAAGATAAAATAGTATATTTACACTAAAAATTTACTTAAAAAAAAAACTTCTCTGTGTCCTGTAAATATAAACAGGACTAGAGGAGCATTCAGTTAACATATATCATAAATTTATTTTGTATTTTTAAAAAGAAAAAATTCCAGAAAAAGCCCTTGGAATATACCAAATCCCAAATTGGGTCTTTAAATTTCGAAAATGACAAAATGGGTCATTGATCCAATCTGTCATTTGTGAAATTCAAGTGAATTGACAATTTTGTCCCTGAGCAAAAGTGAGTAGTTATTCTCTAAACAAATCTAGGTAACGCTTATACTGTTCTAGTGATTACAAGATTCGTTGTGGTTAATAATAAGGTACCTGACAATAATAAGATACCTGACTATGAAAAAATGAATAGTTATTCTCTATACAAATCTAGGTAATGCTTACATTGTTCTAGTGATTACAGAATTAGTTGTAGTTAATAACAAGATACCTGACTATCAAAAAGTGAGTAGTTATTCACTACACGAATCTAGGTAACACCTAAACTCTTATAGTGATTCCTTGAATCATTTCAGTGAATGAATAAATGAGGGCAAAATTGTCAATTCGTCTAAATTTTACAAATGACAGATTGGGTCAATGACCCATTCTGTTATTTTCGAAATTTAAGAACCCAATCTGACATTTCTCATATTTCAAGGACCTTTTTGGGATTTTCCCTTTTAAAAATCACGCAAACTTTTGTAAGGATAATATCCTCAATTCTGTATAGCAAAAGTTGTAACCAAATTAAGCCAAATTCTCTCTAATATAATGAAAAATGAATCATAAAATGGAGTGATTGAGTTAGTAGGAGAAGTCGCACAATCCCAAGGAGGAAATCCGATGAGTATCGTTGCCGGCGGCAAACGTCAGAGCGGTTGGATCCGCACCGGCGAGTCCACGACCTCGGACAAGGCGGTCTCTGTGAGACATAGCCACATAGTACTCTCGACTTCCTCTGGCAGGTAGGTCGTGAATGCCCAGAATTCCCTTAACGGGATCCGAATACCGGTGATGCATGGCGAACTCGACAGTCCGGAATCCATAACAGCTTCGACAACCCAAACTAAACAGTACCACGAACAGGAGCAATCCACGGCAGAACTGAACGGCGAAGCCATGAATAAGTGAAATTGTTGAAGGAAATGTGCCGAAATGATGTAAGTTAGGAGGTAGAAAGAAGTGAGTAAGCTTATTATGGTCGTCTGGAAGACGAGAATTAAAGAATGAGAGAGAGACTGTGAGAAAGAGAGAAATTTCGCAGGCCGTCATTGTCCGGGGGAAGAGTCAAAACCTGCACGCGCCAAGGAGGACCAAACATTTAAGGGTAACATTTTTTGGTACGGTGCGTGCAGAGTGCATTTGTTGGGCCATCAGATTCAGAATAGTACTACACCCAGCATGCAAATCAGCAAAACTACGGACCCGCAATACATCACTGATAAAACAGATGACCCAAAACGCCACACCCAACTTTTTAGTTTTTAGAGACAAATAACAAAAAACGACGAAGCCGAGCAAACAGCAGTAACACAATCTTGTAGGACCCGCGCTGTCTGCCGCGCACCAACCAAACGACGTAGTTCAGAGACGAAGTGAGACCAGAGCAGCAGACACAGCGGAGATGATGGAGGAGGACGAGTGACGTGGAGGACGGAATAAGAGACGTGATGAGGCTGCTGGTGGGCCCAACCAGTGGAAGCGGCCAATTTTTGGTATGCGTGGCGTGAAGAAAATCTCTGCGAGTGACACTTGCATTTATTACAGAAGTTGTTTATTCAAAAGTACTAAAAAATTAGAAAGACCAATTTTTAAATATAGATTCTCTCTCCATTTTGACTGAAAAATCCAATGGAATCCATTCTAATCCTTCAATTAATTTAGTTGTTCTCCGTCAATATCTATCGAGAACCAAAAAAAAAAATTGGGATAAAAGATCAAAATTTATTTTTAAAAAATTATTGTTTTTGGAATAAAAAGGCGAGGCCGAAGCTCAACTTCGCCATACAATGCAAATGAAGTGCTTGTTCCTTCCATAAAGTCAACTTGTTGATCCTCAGCCTCCCAAGCCGTGTACGCGAACGCAGACGCCCTTAAGTAAACAACCAATAACTGTACGATATCAGTGTTCTTACATTTATGTTCTCCCCTCTAACTTTATTTTCACATTCATGCATGGCAATGTGAGAGAGGAGGCTCATGCGCCTTTTGAAATCTGGTTCTAATCTGTCTTTTCCAAATCATATGACTGTTTGGTGGTAGGATCTTACTCAATTTTGCTTTGTTGCCAAACGAAACTCTGAATCTGTCACGATGTTTTTGTATAATCAGTATTAGCGTGTTCAATTCAAATTTCTCGTTTTTTTGGGCCATTGATTGTATCCAGCCATGTGTCTCCTAACTAAACTGCAGTACTTTTTAATGATTTTTTAGAATGAAAAAAATAAGTAAAATTAATTTAATACAAAAAAATTATTACAGCTTTCTAAAATTACCTCTAATAAAATCAAAGTCGTCATTTTAACTCAAGCCTCAAGCGTACGAGAAACCGATACATTTCAACACGCATTCTGTGACATAAGCATGCATCCCTTTTTTTTTATATTAGGAAAAAAAAATAAACTAGTTGTTTTCGGATTGACTCAAGTCATCCAAACATTTATTAATTCAACGACCCCATTCCATGTCAAAGATCCAGAGGCTTTGGTTTCACATTAATACTAAATAAAAAATTCCGTAAACAAGAGGCCGGGAAGGGGCCTATTAAGAGCGAGCTTTACGTTGTGTTTGGTTCGACGAAAGGAAGAAGAGGGGAGGGATTTTAATCAAGGGGAGGGTAGCTACAAAGAGGAGGGGAGGGGAGGGGAGGGAGGGGATTTTAATGATCTCCTGTTTGAATTGATTAGAAGGGAGGGGAGGGAGCAATTTTAATAATACCTTATTTTGTTCTAATAAAAAATTGACTATTTTAACCTCATAAAATTTAAATGAATTTTCTCATTTTTTTATTTTAAGATATAATTATAAATATATAATACAATTCACCAATTTTGATTTACAAGACACAGTCACACACTTATAGAATATCAAGATAAAAAGTCACAAGTAATAGATTTCAATAAGAGAAAAGACTTTGAAGGTGAAAGAAAATACCAACGGCTTCTTAGAATTAAAAGAGAAAAATTTTTTTTTACAAATGCTCACTAATTTTGGAGACAATTATCTTAATAACCTCTTGTTAGATACTTAAAAGGACTCTCTTATACAGAAATGTTTACGATTGATTAGAGATTAACAAATCGAAAGGGTATATAAGGAATTAAAATATTATCTCTCACCTCCCCTCCAAAAAACCCCACTTTTGGAGGGGAGGCTAGAAGGGAAAGGGAGGGAAGAAAAACCCCTCCCCTCTTTAAAAAATATCTTAACCAAATGAAGGGAGGAGAGGAGAGCCCCTCCCCTCCTAAAAAATTACACTAGTCAAACAAGAGGAGGGGAACAACTTCCTTTTCCTCTCCTCCGAAAATCTCGTACCAAACATAGCATTGGGATCAACTCAAAAGAGACGTAGCCCCCTGCGTAACAAACATTCTCTTTGCATCTTTAACTAAATCCGAAGAATTTAAAAATATCAGATTTTATGTTATTTCAATTAAATCCTGCTATCATACCTGGTATGGTATCTATGAAACCAAAAGGGAAGCAAAAGTTTAACAGGTCGTCAACAGAAATAGCTTGTTTGAGCCCTTCATTATTATTCCTAATGTTATGGTGTTAATAAGTACTAATGATTTTTTTTTATTTTAAATTCTCCTTTGTTTTTGCCCCGATAACAATATGATTCTCGCCGTAAGGCGTAAACCTCCAAGGGATCAAACCGATGAATGGTCATAAGGGGGACACTACAATGCAAACTAACCTTACTCTGTTATTTAAGTAGTTGGTGCATTGAACTAATGATTTTTACAAATTTACCGTGAACCTCAAATGGATCAAACAAATGAATGATCACAGAATATGTAACCAAAAAAAAAAAGTAAGAAATCCAAAGCAAGTCAGAAGTGAGGTACGAGTGTAGTGCGAAGGTGATGACGATGCCCTTGACCACTGAGAATGGGTTCGGGTCTTTGTGGTTGATTTTGGCGCAGAGTGGTTGCCAAGCCCTGCCGCTACAGCAGGAGGCACATTATTTGAGTGTGGCTTCGCTGGAACTTCATCTTCAACGTCATAACCTGTTAATGGCATCAACATATGAAGATTAATCCCACTCTACAACCTAATAATTTTTTCGCTATCTTCTGGATAGACCACAGACCACAGTCAGCGTGAGAAGAAGAATGACACTTACAATTAAATTTCTTCCAGCCCAATATGAGCTTTTCTCGGTCAAATACAACTCGGTAGCCCGTCATGAAGTTTTCTGCAATAAGCATCAAAACGAAGTGAGGGATCAAATTATGGAGAAAGACTCAAGGGAATCAGCATATATTTTACATTGTAATAAATTGGCAATAATACACTGACTTAACTAATCAACACTCAGTTATTGGTATGCAGGGCAAGCAAGGACAAGTCCCATGTTTTGTCACTTCGATCTCGTGTGAGTGGTCTTCACAAGTTACTCAATTTACTTGAACTTCATGGCATACTAATTCTATATGATCTAAGAAGCAAAAAGAGGGAACGAAAAAAGGCAAAAAGAAAAACAACTTACGCCCGATTATATTTAGTTCAGTACTCTTGACAACTGCTAGGCAATATACAAGCTCACTCTGCAAAATAATTAGGAAGCGAAGATGCAACTTTAGTTTTATCCTAAGCTTAAAGGCACGCTCATAGTAAAGAAGTGCATAGATTTAATAAACACCTGAGTAGAGATAACGATTATTGGATCATAAACGGCAAAGTGACTTCCTCCTCTCATAGTCAAACCCATGCTAGGTGTCGAGTTTGTATTTGCATCAGAACTGTCCAAAAGTAAGAATGGTTTGATTTCAGAGGTTATATCAAAACACACACACACAAACAACATATCCACATATATGTAAGTTGGAATGACTGCATGACCTCATATCATAACAAAATTCAAAAGGAATCCTTGAATCGGGTGGACGCCTTCTATCTCCTATCTGAGAATGAAACTGCAAAAATAACAATGTTGGTGAGGTACAGTATCAAATAATATTAAAGCCATATGTAAACAGAATTGACCTTTTTTCAGTGCTTACACTCTTAGAAAGCCTTGTGTAGGTTGGATCAACCAAGTACGTAAAAGATGTACCAGAATCAAAAAGAGCAGTAAATTCCACGTCAATTAGAGTTTTTCCTACTTGGACTTGAGTGACTGTGATATTATAGGTAGGGCTGTGAGACATGTACAAGCATAAGACTCAATATTTTTCACAAGCATTTGTCAGAAGAAGCAATATTACTTCTATTTCTGAAATCAGCAGCAGCAAGTAACAAGGGAATTACCACTTACTGTGATGGGTTCAAATTAAATGGGGTCTCTTTTTGATCAGGGCTACCCTTGTCCCCAAAACTCAACCTTCCAATGCCATCATGTCCAAAACACATTGAGAATGAATCTGCTGTAAGACCTTCTCTGGATAACATGCTAGGAACTGATATTTTCTCCATGCCAAGCCCAAATAAACCATTGGGAGCGGCAACATCTAAGAATGATCCACTTTGAACTTGTCCACAGCTGCAAATGTATTACATTTTATCTCAATACGGGTAAGTGAGTGAAGAAAAGAAAAAGGAAACAAAAGCCAGAAAGCTAAAAGTACTAGACTGATGTATGAACATTGTCGAAATCAGTTCGGTAATGGTACAATGAGACTGACCCAAATATGATGTATGCCTCCACAAGCTCATTATGACTATCTTCTTTCATCAAATGCAGAACATCCTCCACAAGTATTCCAGATGTGGAAGTTTCAGCAGAGACATAAGAGACCATATAGGGGCAGTTGCTGAAAGTCCCAAGGCACTGATTACGGAGCATACACAAACTGTTCTTACAAGTGACCTTTTTGCTCGTTGAAGATCCATTAGGATTGTATACACTAAGGTCAAAATCCTGCCACAGCAATATTTCATTTTCAAGAACCAAGCCAAGGCTGCAAATTGCACTGTCTTTTTTGCCAAAAATAAATGCATCTCCTCTTCTAATTCATATATTTTTCATAGGCAAGGAAAACTTCTATAATATTTTTCTGATCGAAACCAAATGGGAGGACTTTAAAAGATAAGCGCTTATTCTAGTTATCAAATTTGTTGGAAAATTTCCATGATTCAGGAATTCAGCACTGGATTTGGTTATCCTTTCATTGGCGCTCTGGTGATTAATAAATATCTGGCAGACAAGACAAAGGCAACATACATGGAAGCAAGAATAATCAGACAATGCAGACAGAAAATTTTATAATATTAACTTTGTAGTCCGATCACTTCTTCATTATGAAAGAACAAAAATCCTACGTTTTGCAGAGCACATTATTAGTTTTACATGCTTGTCACAAGGTATGAGGTGTAAGGAGTCAAACATTGTTGACAAAGGATCCAAAATAACACCAACAGCCAAAGGGGCGGGGAGAAGAATGAGCAATAGATCAGATTACTTCTTTGCAAATATCCGGAATTTCTAGCGGTCTACTACAATATAATCAAATCTTAGTAATGAGAAGGGAACATACTGAAGCAAGAGCAGCGCTATCAGCTGCTGCACATCTGGTACAGTCACATGGTACCCAGAACAGGTCGCTTCCTGTATCAAGAGCGACCATAAACTTCACTCCTGGTGTGCCCAGTTGAACAGTCGTATAATGCAGACTGTACGAGTCTCCAGACAAGCAAAAGAAAGGAGAAAGTTAAAGAAATGAAGGGGAAACTTCCAAGAACAAGGACTTATTCAAGGGAACAGAATTAGATTAATAATGAGACTCTCTCTCTCTCTCTCTCTCTCTCTCTATATATATATATATATATATATATATATGCAAATAGCATTAAAAAAAAAAGAAGAAGAAGAAAAGAAAAGAAAAGAAACATACAATCCCAGCGAGCTGATTTGAAACGTGGAGTTGCCATCAGAGAATGCCAAGGCCGCGTCATCTTTATCGGAAAGTTTGCGGCCACGGAAGAAACGATCGCGATTAGCCAGCTTCGCGTAGTACTCTAAAGTCCCCTTCTCAGGCCAGCCATCCTCCGGAGAGAGCTTTCCAGCGCTGGTCTCCGACCACTTCTTGACAGGCTCGGAGAAACGGTGGTGCATCGTGAAAGTGAAGATGCGAGCATGGCAGCAAGCATAGAAGCTCCAAAATGAAAGCAAGACAAGGATCGTTCTACCCAATATAATCATTTTTTCGTCAATGAGAGAGCCAAAACGGCAAAATGACCGAAATCGAGACCATAGATCTTGGAAGAGAACGCGAATTAAGTTCAACTAAAGAGAATTAGGGTTTGGCGTATGAGGATTTCGCACAAAAAGAGAGGATCTTGGGATCTTGAGAGTGAGCGGGCGTAAGATCTTTTAAGTGCTCCACCGTGAAGAACAGTGAGGAGTCAAGCTAGCGTTGCGTAGGCAGGTATCTTCAACGCGAACACGTGCGTGGACCCCAACGCTTCTTTTTTGACAGTTGATAACGGTCGGCGGCTTGGCGGGCATCAGGGTTACATTACCGTTGTCTTTTCCGGATTCCTTTTGATTTATCGATACGCGGCATTCCCGTCCAGGCTAGGCTATGGGTGTGTTTGGATTAGCGGTGGAGAAGTAATTTTTTTTTTAATCTCACTTTTACAAAAATCAGATTAGATAAAAGCAACTTCTTTGAACTTATTGTATAAATCCGTTTTAGTCACAGAAGTCAGATTGTAAAAATGTGATTCCAAACACATCCCAAATAAAAAAAACTCGTTTTGCCAGTAAAGAAGTCAGTTTGAAGGTCCAGATGTGATTTCAAACACACCCTATGTTTGCCTTCATCCTGGGGTTCAAAAACGTGGTTTTCTCGGAAGTGAAACCTCGTTTTGGACCACAAATCACAAATATACAGATTGGTATAAACTTGTACTTACCATATAAATGGTATACAAAGTAAATGGTATACAAACATTGGGTCTGTTTTTTTTTTTTTAATACTTACCGTATACATGGTAAGGAAATTAATTATTTTAAATTTTACAACATGATTATAGATAATAAAATTAAGTAAATTTTCAACATTAAAAATGTATCTTGATTGAAAATTCTCTTAATATTTGCAATTAATAAGGGTGTATTAGGCAAAATATCATAAGTTTAGAAAATAAAATGAATTAAAATTGTATATTTATATATCAAAATGAATGGAGATAATACTCTCTGCAGTGTTTTTGTTGTCCTGCGCGTCCTAGTCAAAATAAAAATGGGATTTGGTAAATAGTAAAAGACTGTGAGACTGTAAATATAGGTGCATCTAAATTTACAAGTCCTGGGACATATAGGGCTGAAGTTATCCTGCCTTAAAAACCTTCCCGGCAGACAATTTGCCATTGTTACCCTACTGGTGATAATCAAACAATGATTTGTTTCCCTGGAAATATTTGCAGGGGTAGATTCTATTTAAAAAGAAAAAAAAAAAGAATACTTTTATTCTTTTAATACACCCATTCATTGATCTTGATGAGGATAACAATTGGCTCATGATGAGAAAAATTATTCTACACAAAAATACATTCAAACTCTACTCAGCTCACGGTATATACATATCAGCACTCGAATAATATGCTAATTATTATTCTCTACAAAAATATTTAAAAAAAAAACATATCTTGATCCCTCTCAATTGGTATATCCTTTGCAAGTGTGTTCTTCTTCCTTAAAACAACTCCGGTGGATCCTTATCTACTGCACAAAGTATGAGAATGAGCCATATTTTTCATGGCTTAATGTAAATAATACAACTGGTTATAGATTTTATATTGATATATTGACAGCTGATCAGTTTCCGCCACTTTCGAGAATATCAGATCTTAGTTGGAGATCAGGCAGAGGTAAATGCATATTTATCAGAGAGTTTGGTGCGTGAAAATGATGAGATAATGTCCATTTGATGAAGAAACTCAACGTCATGAATCAATGGGTTTTCTGTTCTGCGTGGTGGGGAGCCTGAGTAACAAGAAGGTAAGCATCCTGTACTGCACAGTAATTCCTTTTCATTTGAATTCTGCAGAAACATATATGGATTTTCATTTTATTATATCCATAAATAATTCCCCTGTTTTCTTATGTTCATTAAATTCTTTTAGGATATATAATTGATGATCATTTTGATGATTAATCTAATCTAATCTAAACAAGAACCTTTTCTGAGATCATGTTAAGAACTCCACTTTCTGTCTTGGCATTTGCCTGGCTGGTAAAGAAAGAAGACAAAATCAGAATCATACCCACTGAAGAATTATGAAAGACAAATCTCAGTGCTAAGATATGTGAGTAACCATCAAGTAGTTAAAAGAAGCCAGAAAAATTATACTTTTGATTGCAGTTTCACACTTATGAACAATATTGCTTGCATATTGACCTTGTGCCTATCTTTTCCCTTTTTACTATCTGAATTTGAATTGTGTAATCTATATCCACGGCCCAAAAAAAAATAAAAACCTAGTTGATTGAAATGAGAAGGAACAAACCTGTGTGTGGTGCATCTGAGGGGTTTGAGGAACTCAGGAATTGCAGGAGAAAGCTTTCTGGGTTTAGGGCAGAGGGGTTTATCACATTCATATCCTTTTGATCCAAGCTCTTCTTTCTCTGTACTTGAACCACAGAGATTGCTTTTGACAGCTTGACGATGCATGTTATATTTCTCTCGTACGTGTGTGTATATGTATATATATGTATGTATGTGTATATACCTTGCTAGCTAGTTTACAATAGGCTAAAGAAAAAGCTCGATCTCTAATCAATTTATTAGCCACACACCGATGGATATTCATTAGAGATCAGAAGTTGATTTATATAAGAGGGGCATGTTCAAGTTTCAAGTGGGGAAGAAGAAGAGAGTGATGTGTAATTTTCTTGGCTGAGAGTGGATATAGCTTTTCTCTTTGACGACCATGTGGCACTCATTTCCTTATTCTTCTCCATTTCTCGTGTTTTCCCTATATTTATTTCATCCATTACTCCATTCCAACTTCCCTTTTCTCATTTCAACATGTTTTTTCTTTTTTATAATTTTGAGTTCTTAAACTGCAAAGATAAAATTATAAACCAAATTGAAATATAAATACCAAAAAAATAATTTTCTATTAATAAATACTCGTAATCGTTTACATGCATGCGTGTCAAATTTCCAAGGGTGTTTGGATAACCATTATTGACTACAAGATCTGTGAATTTCACAAGCAGAATCACAGGGGTGTTTGGAGGAGAGACTAGGTCAAATATTTGCCTTGCCTCATAATGCGGCCCAATTTTCTTATTCACGACTTGGCCCAACCCAAGTTGATACTGTTCTCGATTGGGCCGATTTAGGCTCTTTTTGGGCCATCGAGCAGATTCAGAGTAGTGCTAGGTTTTATGGTCTTATCATTAAAAAAAACTTGTAAATTTCAATTATAAACATTTTTTTTACTTTAATTCTCAACTTAATTACGTGAAACCGTATGTGTAAATCTTCTATTTTAATCCATCCCTTTACCATCATAAGGTATATTTGCTAAGTTTTTATATTTTAATCTATAAAACATTTTATGAAATGTTAAGGTAAGAATAACTAATATGTTTTTTCTCGAAATACTCTTAACAAATAAAAAAAGTATTACCTCCAATTCTAATTATAAGATCTTATTTATAATATATAAATAAGGTCTTATAATTAGGACCAGAGCTAGTATTTGACTTTAAGTTGTGTGGATGTGGTATGATTGAGAGAGAGATCAGAGGAGAGAGAGACCATGAGACCAAAGAACTAAATGAATGAGTTGGTATGATTTTATTGAACAGTGCATACGTGATGGACATGCTGTAACGTGAATCTATCCTTTAAAACTTTATTTTACTCTATAAAACTTTCAGAAAATATATACAATTACGTTCTCCCTCATCAGGCACACTTAAAGTCTGGCCTGGAAGACGCGATCACACGCGCGCACAAAGTCATTCACGAGCAATCGAGCATTAATAAATCACATACCTAGCTAAGTGCAAACTCAGATATGTTAATCCCACTATACATATATATATATATATATATATATATATATATATGCTGCTTCACAACTTTTGCTAGCTCTCATCACGCGTGGCAACGCCCCATATGTATACATATGTCTTAACAATTCTTCGCTCTCTTCTCATTAGGGGTTGCCTTAGTTTGAACCTGTGAGCCACAACATGGGTTGCTGGTGAATCATCTCCGTTATGTTCATCAAGTGATGGCCCCAGTGCAGCCGGTGTACTACCTCCACCACCTGCAAAGGCTGAGGCTGAGCATCGCCCCCATGCTCCTGAATGATCTCCACCGCCTCGATAGGGTGAGCAACCCCGTGATGTCGGTGAAGGATCTCGCGATGATCACGGTGGTTCCGGTGGATAAGCTTGGCCGCCGAGATAAGGTGAGCTGTGCATAGAAGGCCGACGACAAGAGGAGTCATCACGATCACGAGAGCCACCATGATCACCGGGATAGCCTTATCATCAAGACAAGAAAGAGAGTGAGTAAAAATCAGGTACAGAAGGAAATAATTATAGTACTACTAAATTCAGCATATTTGAGATATATGTACGATACGAGAGGGTCTCAAAACTTACCATAGTCACCGGAGTTTTTCAAGAGAATGGCTAGGTTTTGGAACTGTGAGATATCAGTTTCTGTCTGTGACTGAAATATAATGAAGTTCACCAATATAATACGTGTATATTAACATTAATTGCTCGTTGGTGGGGTTAGGTGGCACAGTAGGGTGAGTTTTTATTCCATTGCACATGCACAATAAAGCAGCGCTTACTCCTCACTTCCTATATATGAATAGCTATAAAATCGAGACATTATGATCTTTGACTTGATAACCCTATCAAATAACTGTTTCCTAGGAGAAACTCCGAGAGGATTTAAGTTCAATGTACGTTCAGTAGAAAGAGAGTTTTTCTACCCTTAGTACAGTTCATCACCTCATTAAATTGATTATATAAATATATAATTTTACTTCTAATATTATTGTATATGCTGTACTCTTGAAAAGTTATTGACTTTTAATATAGAGTTAATAAGATTTAAAATTTTTTTTTAATTCTTATAAAATAGTCAATGTTGGAAATAACTTATAGGTAGGATTATATAAAAGTATATAATAATTTTTTATAGGAGAGCAAGTTGATGATGATGGATTGAATGTGCAGATTTTTAAAGTTCATGAACTCATTTGTATCTCAATCTTTAAATTTTAACTTGGTATAACTCAATCTTTAAATTTTAACTTGTTCTAACTTAGCCCATAAACTTTTACTTAATGTAACCCAATCCTATGATCATTTAAAATTTTAATCCACTAGTTTCATAAAATATATAATTTTCTACAATACAGAAACTAAATTTTTAATTGATTTAAATTATATAGAGACTAAGTTACATTGAATGAAGGTTTAAAAATCTGATTTATAAACACGCCAAAATCATAAAAATTGAGTTGCATTTAATTAAAGTTTAAAAACTGAGTTATATTAATAATGAGATGTGCCATGAGTAGACAAATGGAGAGAGAGGTACCACAATATAGTTGGAAGTTGGAAGTAAATGCTGATGAAGTTGTCAAGTTGTTGAGAAGTACATATAGACAGGCGATACATGTGAAATGTCCGCCTGGGACATGACTGGGGATAATTAGTGATGAATTTTGCTATTTATGAGCATAAAAAGGAACTGTTTAAGTCAACCAGGGAAGGAAATTGTCTCATCACCCCCTCCATCTAAAGTACAGTGTGTGTGTGTATGCAAGTTGCAAACTTGCAACCAGCTTTTCGAAGTAACTGAGTGAGAATCTTGATTGACGTGGTAGTTGACTTTTATTTTTCCTCATTTATAAATCAAAATTTTCGCGTAAATAAATAATTTTATCATTTATTTATTGTTACATAAATTTTGTTTTTAAGAAATACATTGTACATTAAACAAGAATAAAATTAAAAAGTAGTCAACTTTTAAGATAACCCTAAAGTTAATGACCTTTATATAGGTTTTTTCCTAATGAAATACTTTATTGGAAGTGATTTATATGATACAATTGAATTGAATGATTGATTAAATATTGTATCAAAAAAGATAATAATAAAGCAAATACGCAATAATGTCAACAAATGTAATCTGTAATTTTCTCTAAATCTTGCGGTGATGAATTAAAGCATAATCAGATGTAATACTCCTCTTATCTTATTTATACAGTAAAAAGAAAAAAATATTTTTTTAATTCTATTTATATGGATGTACAAAATTACCCTTTATTTATTGTTATATTGATTTTATTTACATGAGGTATAATGTATTCTTCCAGTCTTAAATATAATACCCTTTTTGTATTGTAAATTACACTACAAAAGGGATCTTATATTTAGGACCAGAAGAGTATATTAAATAGGGATAAAGTTAAAAAGTTGTTGAATTTTAAATAAGAGTTAATGAAGTTTAAAGTTTTTCTAAGTCTGTGTAAAATATATTGAAAGTGACTTATAAATCAGATTAGAAAAATATTTAATAACCATTTATGTAATTAATGAGCAGTTTTAGATGAGAAATAATATCATGAAAGTTACACATAACAAGATTAGATGCCTGCTCATTCCGTGGAAAAATGGACATATATGGCCCACGCATGGTCCCCATCATTTATAGTCATGCCCTTCTTTTTTTTTTCCCTCTTTGGCCAACTTGTGCCGAAATTGAAACCATCTAAATCTAACTTCGGTTATCTATATTTAAAGCTTTTAATTTATATTTTTGGATAACAAATTCATTTTTTTCACATAGATTGCACATAAGCATCCATTCAAAATAGTTGCAACCAGTCAAATTCATATAGTTTTAATTTTTGACGAATAAAATTTCTAATTAAGCAGGTATTTTTTAATCAAAATTTCCTTAATTTTATATGAATTAAAATAAAAAAATTAAAAATTTAAAGTAAGATAATATTAAATATAAACTATCCAATTTTAAGGCAATTCAGATTTTGTGATTATTACCAATGAGCACCTAAACTCATTCTTAAATAATGAGTTCATTATTTAAAAAATATAAGTTAAAAACTTTAATTTTAAACCATAAAAACGGTGTGTTAGATTTCTAGCCCTAGTTCCACCTTATAGTCTTTTTTATTTTTAAAAAAATCTATAATCCTCTAATTATCATTGAAAACACAAATCATTAGCAATAAATTAAAGTATATTTTTAGTTTTTTTTAACCCTAAATAATGTTTTAATTTAGTTAGTTTCATCCTTTCAATCTGAGAATCATTAACAAAAAATGATCTTAATAAATCTTGAATGTGGATAAATCATTCTTAAATATTAACATTTTAAATTTATTTTTTAAAACAACCATAATTGTTTAAAAAACACCATTTAAAACAAACAATATTAAGATTAAATGACTAAAAATATTTTTTTAAAAATTAAATTATCAAAATTGAAATTTTATGTAAAGCTAAAAGAATAAAACAACAAACTTTTAAATGTTAAAACAAAAAACAATAATTTTATCGGCATTAAATCGAAAGATCTTCCAACCAATATTTTTCTGTGAACCAAAAAGTTTACCAGTATCACGGATGAATCGAGATGAATTAACAATTAAAATCCCATCCATCAATGCTCACCCTGTCTGGTCTTGCCGGGACCACCTAATGCAATATTCGACTGAAATTCAGGACAATTTTTTTTTTCAAAAAAAAAAATCCCAATCTTCATACATAACTTGTATTTTAAACAAAGTCAATACAAGATGAATCCAGTCTTCGCCCCATATGCCTATGGTTTAGGAAATTATAAATGATGAAATTTTGATCTATAATCTATAATTAAAGACATTTGTTTCAAACTAAACTGTTAAGATATACTTCAATGTTCTCAGCTCAATATTCATAACATAGACAACTACTCACCACCCCCCCCCCCGGGGTTCAGGGTGCTTTAAGAGAGAGTAAAACAGCCATGGACTGGTTAGATACCCACGTACTCCAATCAGACAATAAAAGAAAAGAATATATTACTACTATAAAATTATGGAAAAATAATTGACAGTATTTTTTTGGGGGGGGGGGGAGGGGAAGATACGGCCAATGAAAAACTCTACACATTATATCATGCCAGTGTCATCTCTGTCTATGAATGACTACCAGGTTAGAGATTCACGTTGAAAAATAAGAACTTATTCACCCCCTTTCTCCCTCATTCCTCTTTGCCATTTACCAATCTGAAGCAATCATTTATGAACAAGAACTCTAGAAAACTATGTTGTTAGAATATCAGGAATTCTAGGGAAATGAGATCCCATAACTTTCCCGCCAACGTCCACAAAAGCCTCATATTCCGGCAAAGGGCTGACCTTCCCATCAGCATCTACTTGTACAGGATACTTCAAAATATGTCCCTGCAATAATGAGAAGTTTTCTGACGCGTATCTTCTCCAATTCTCTTCCGCAGTGGAGTTCACCTTACGCACACATTCCAAACTCTCTGGTTCTTCAAAATCTGAGTCTAACAACCCAAGATGCTCCGCCCACAGTGACATTCTGTAACCATAAATCTGCAGCCACCAAAAACATGAATTCATCCATCTCATACTATGCAACACAGAACTGAAGGCACGATATGGTGTGGACACAAGGTTTTAACTACTACAAGGTGAGGCCCCATGTATTGTAGATGTAAGGAACGAGGCACACTCTTCAAAACTTGTGAACAGTAAAGTTTGTTCCAGATTTTTTATTTTATTTTTGAGATTAATGATATTGATACATGAATTTAGAAAAGTCATGTCAAATACAATAAGTATTCATTCTTAAAAAAATCAGTACTTCGTCGATCTCATGAAAAGGAACATCATATGGTAAGGTGTTGGAGATTCCAGGTTGACCTTTGAGGCATCAAATAATCACCTATTCTCCACTCATGGATGAAGGAAGGACATGTTCCAGATATACCAATATCATGAAAAATGAGAGAAATCCAGGGTTATAACAATGAAAAGTCCACCCAGCCAAGATCTTATTTTTGCTCATCTATAACGTCATCCAGTAATTTAGTAAATCAGAGAAAGTAATCATTCAGTACAAGATAAAGGTGGATCCCAGCTTTGCTTGTGTATAACATAATATGTATGTACTATGATTTTCATAAATTGAGGAAACGTGGTTATTTGGTATGAGTTATGTGATTTTTAGGTCATTGATGAGGCGTGCAATTTGTAACTAGTAAAAGAAGGGGTCAGAAAAAATATCTTTGCCAAACACAAACCTGACCACGTGGATGTCTTTTCCTAGCAAACCACGTGTGATGAGGTTGATATGCACCCATAACTATCTCAGTATCTTTTGTGCCAGCCATAGACCTTTGATTTATATTAGCAGATCCCACCATAACATACTCATCATCAACAATCATCCCCTTAGCATGCACATAAATCATAAATCGGTGATACTTATGTGAATCGGAGACCTGATAATAAAAATTTGATTACAGTTAGTTCTTGAACTGCAACAAAATTTAAGTTTGTTAACTAAACAAGGATTTCACCATGTCATGCACCTTCATATAACCAAGTAAAAATTATTTGACAAGCATGCCAAGGACATAGCTGCTGAATGCAGTAACCAAGCCCATTGAAAACTAGCATATTTATGCCAGAGCTCCTTCTTCGTAAAAGCATAACCACAGTGAAAACAAAATCTAGCACCCTTTACAGCCAAATTTGGGAAAAGATGCATGCTGGGTGAAATCAAAAGAAGTAAATGCATTTGTCCTTTTTTCATATCGTGAAAACCAATGACATATGGTTAACATATCTAAGAACTTCATCTTCAGGAGAAGAAAGAAAAAGTCATCATGTGCTTAGTGCATTGACTAGATGAACATTGTGTTTGAAATAATTACCAAAGCACCGTTTGAACTGGAGTTCTCTTCATGGAATTCTTCCCGGTTTCCAAGGCAATAGAAGTTGAGGTAATCTTGTGGATGCAAATCAACAAGTTGCATTGATTTCAATTCTCTTGCAACAACATCATACATCATTTTCATTGTCTGGCTCTGAATACAGCAAAGGTAGAGCTGAGAATACATAATTGCCATTGCCTATCGCTGTTAATTTTAAGATCTTTAAAGCATTATACACTTCATGCTTGTATACACCATAGAATTCCATCTTTGGACAAGTTTCTAAACTTTACACCTCATGTAGTCGTAATACCTGCCAAAAGAGGATTTCTTGCATTGCTGCTGAATTAGGGTCACCCTCTGGCCACATTGGTAAAACAATATACACTGCAAATCTCTCCTTGGCTCTGATTTTACTAGCAATTTTGAGTGCCAGTTCCATTGGGATGAGATTATCAGCTCCTGCAAATATGACAACATATGACTAGGCAACAATTAAAATCAAGTAATACAGACAAAAAATTTAAACTGCTAGAAATGGCTAAGCTGTGTTTTAAAAGAAAGAAGCACCATAGACAACCATTGTACATTTTAAGACTACCTGCATCCTTATAAGATGGCCAAGCATAAGATGATCCAAGAAAATATTGGTTTTCAATATAGATAAAGTGTTGAGCAGATCTGATCGCTTGAATATATCCTGTTTGAATGCTTTTATCTATTATTAAATTTTTAGCGCAGGTAAGATTCTGCATCAAAATAAACTCGTTAGAAGCTGTGGTACATGATTCATATCACTCTAGTACCTAATATATTAAACTTCATATATAGGTCCCTAAACTGGATATACAGGTCTTTATCACAAGCAAGTGATAGAGAGTACTTGAGTAAGAATATTTTCAGTTATCTGTACAATAGGATGAGTTTGAAAGGAAAGAAATGGCAGTAATACGTAAACCTGGGACTGAGCAATATCGACCCTTTTGGGAAACCCTTTCAGAGATCCTGAGTCGATGGAGCGGAATATCTGTAAAATCATATAACTGAATAAGAATTGGGAAGTGTGTTAAAAACGAAAGATCCCCCAAAACAAAAACTGATTAACTTACTGTAACATAAATCAGCCAAACTAGTGTTTTCTAACCTGAACGTGCCAGTTATCAGTATCATCTTCGCTGTTGACCCATAGTAGAGGATTATCTCCTGGAACAGTTGTGCTACCATCCTTTGATCGAGGCAAGGAAGGACTTAATATCCATGAGATGCGTTCTATTTTCAGCAAAGCATCATCATGCCAATGGGAAGCCTTTTTGAAAAGTATTCCAAACTCTTTCCACTTTGTTGCTTTTCTCCAACGCTGCTCAAAATTAAGAAGAACATCATATGCGGCAGGCCCATCGATCCTGCAATGCAAATCATGCCATGGTTGCCTAGGAGCCCTTGTTCCAGCCTATCAAAAACATAATATATATAAGCCGCCACCATAAATTGAATGATATAAAAAAAAATTTTTTGAGAGAAAAATTAAAAATTCAGTTTATTAGGATCATATAAAACACTATGGCCAATGCATGCTAATTACAAAAAATGACTGTAAAATAGAATAAAACTTTTTGCAGAGTATGATAATGTCTAGGCAATAGAAAGTATTAGGCTATAAGGTAATATCAAACAGTACTGCATAATTGGAGATAACATTTATGAAAAGTGCACAACTCATTCCTTCCCACTCTCTCCTCTGATCAAGACCTACACAGCTGACATCTCAAACTGTTCTATTGCTTCATTTATTTAGAGAGAAAAAAACTAGAAGAAGAAGAAGGTTAAGTTACGAATTTCAATTTAGATTTGCATTTGAGAAATAGGATATAATTCACAACTTCCACGTTCCAGCGGTGGTCAAAATATGAATAATGGAGTGTAAAAACAATTTTTGTGCAATATAATCAGTGTAGGCAGTCCAGCTAGTAACTAGGGGTTTGCTGCTACGCTGTGGATAGCCGTAACACAAATTCTATTGAGAAGTCTATATACTTATTCACCAAAACATAGATAATGGAGAGTTTGGACTACACCTTTCTTACTTTCTAAATGCTACCTCCGGTCCTTAATATAAAAACTAATTTAACATTCAATTTAGTCCTAAATACAAGATCCCAATTCACTTTGTCTCTCATATTTGTTCATTTTTTCCAAAATAGTCTTTGTAGTAGTTTCATATATTAAAGATTCCATCAAATGATAGTTCTAACTAATACACATGATTAACAAGGTATTCTAAGAAAGATAACACCTATTTATTATAAATAACTAACTAAACAAACTTTCTTAATCTACTCAAATTAGTCAACTAACTCTTGTATTAAAGACTGGAGGTCGTAGAAGAAATATATGTAATGCTCAATGTATAAATATGTCCAACTGGGCTGACAACTTACTGAAAATGTAGGATTGTGAAAATCACCCGAAAATATAGTATCAAGATCACGAAATAGTCGATGCTCAGGTGTGTCATAGCGACCATCACATAGATCAAGCCCTCCTAGAAAAGCAGTTATCTTACGGTTATTACCAAAAGCCTGTGTGTCCACGAGGACGCATTTTTGGTGATGTGTGAAAATAGTTCCAACAACCTGTATGAATTCACACAAGCAATTATACAAAGTGTCTCTAAAGACGATTTAACAAAGATCGCTAATGAATTAAAGATATTAGCAAGTAGAGAAGTGAATAGGAATGTCAGAGTAAAAGAACATATTTTTGTCAAAACAGAGAACGAGTGAGTAGAAGGAAAATTTGAGATACATTCTCCATAAACCAGTTTACATTTACAAATACAGGGAATTTAAAAACCACAAAGAAATGGAAAATTGACACCTGAAAAAATTAGCTCATAAATCTTACTTTCACACCATATGCAGGAGATATTAAGTTTAAGCAACTAAGGAATTAATATCGTACAAAGTAAACCAAAAATAAAAGGTAAATCAAATTACTGAACGTCGAAACCATTACTTGTTGCTTCATGTAACTCAATTTGCTGCTAGCATACCGAGGTGCCAGAACACACATAATAGAAGAATGTTTAAAAAATTTCCTGGTTTCTTCATCATGTGTCTGCATTACTCCAGCCTGCACTGAAAGCTCGATTAACTTAGGACTCAATTCAAAAGTACTTCAGTACACTCGCTCAAATATGAACTAGCAAATAAAAGAAACACAAAAAATGCACTTTAAAATGGTATAACGTCTTATCAAAATTGAATTTGCGGGTCAGAGTCTCACCGACTTGAAGAACAACTTGTCATGGGAAGTCTTATCATCCCAAATCAGCAAGAGAACTCGCACCCCTTCTTCAGATTTGTATTTGAGCAGTTCTCCGAGAGTTAAATCCCCACCTCGTGGCAAAGGCCTGCTAGGTTCCCTCACAATCCTTACTTTGTGGTAGATTGACCAACCCACGAGATAAACCATATGATGAGCCTCAGATATAGCATAACAAATATCCTCCCAACATGTTCCATGCTTGTAAACCTCTCCCCCCTCTAGCTTTATCTCAGGTAGGATGCCATTAGGAACATGGGCATCTTGGTACAACCTCACCGAGCTTCCCTTCCGCAGAGGAAAATACGTTTGCATCACGCCCTTGTGTTCTGGATCAGCCGCAATGCCTCGTCGGTACAACAAGTTCTCTTCCACGGCTACGAACTTCATTTCTATACGAAGAGCAGTGTCTGGCTTGGTAGGCTTACCGGAAGAACCAAGAATGGGGAACCATCCGGCGATAAACTCACCGGAGGCAATTCTATGTGCAGGAATATTCACAGTTCCCACAACCTGAGCACCAAATACGTCGTCGTCTTTGACTCGAAATTCCAAATGCTCCACGGGGTGCGCCAAGGGGATACTGAACCGCTCGTTCCACTGAGGGTTCGGCATATTCTTTATCACACGCGTGCGAGCAACAGTAGACTGCGGCACCGAGACGGTGACGTATGAGTCGCTAGTGATAATCCTCCGGCGACGGCGGGTCTTCACGTCGTCAACGGAATGGAACTTGACAGTGTCACAGGCGGTGACACAACGGCGGAAATGCTGAGAGAAAACATCCATGTTGGGCAAGTTTCGAGCCTCAAAGATGGTCAAGTCCAGGTCGCCGTGAAGATAAATTATCCCCGTCTCGCCGCCGTTCTCCGACATTGTTCTGGCGCAGTTTGATTCAAACACTGAACCGATAACCAAAACGAAACCACGTGGGATTCTAAATGCTGACAAACGCTGTGAATGCGGTTTCTGGGTTCCGGATTACATCGCTTCCACGTCGCGGGCACGTTGCGCCTCGGTGGCGCCATCACTCGTTTTTGAGGATTTTTTAAAAACTTATCTGCCGGTTTCGATGCACAGTATTTATTTAAATTTTTTAATACCGCATTTTATTTTTGTGACGTTACATGAAAGAATTAGTCTTCTTTTTTTTTTTTTACTACGTAAGCTGTGAATTTATGTGTCTGAAAATTTTTTTAATTCCTTTTAGATATAATCCTGATAAAAGGAAAAAGTTAAGTTGCCATGATGATATTCTTTTTTATTTCACACGAATTTATAATTAAATATTATTATTTTTAATATAACAATCAGTGGACTAATTTGAATATATTAAAAAAATAATTAAGTTAGTTATTTATAATAAATAAGTATTATTTTTTGTAAAATATTCTTACTAATCAAATGTAATGGCTACAACTATAATTATTACAAAGACTACCTTAAAAAAAAGATAAATATGAGAAACAAAGTGGATTAAGGTGTTATATTTAGGACCAAAATAAAAATCAAATGAGTTCTTATATTAAAGATCAGAGGTAATAGTATTTTAAAAATAAAACATATGTGAAAAACTTGACATAATGAATATAAGAAACTTGATATAAGTAGTACCTGATAAATAAAGATATTTTGCAAAAAAATTGTTTATTAGAAGTTAGGGAAATTCATTCAATAAGATTATTTCTAGAAGCATATTTTTAAATACATAATTCTGAATTATGTATTATGATATACTCCTCCAATTTTTAATGTAAGATCTAATTAATTAATTTAAATATATTAAAAATATTAATTAAATTAGTTAATATAATATATATTTTTCTAAAATATCCTAAACATCTTTTTAATTTTTTATCCTCTTCTCTTATTTAATTATTATTAATAAAACATTTAACTTAAGAAAAAGTTAATAATTATATAAATAGATTTTATATTTAAAATTAATATTAACTTTTTAAAACAGAAAGAGAATTCTATTAAAAGGACAGAGAGCTTTATCCTACTATCCTATCAGCCGCACAAAACCACAGAGGCGACAAAACCCTACTACCAAGTACCAAATATATTTAAGGGAAAATTTCACTGTAGGACCGCAGAAGACAAAAAATTTCAAAGAGCCCCCAAAACATTCTGAAATCTCACTGCAGGACCAAGGGGCCAATCTGATATTAATTCCACAAGTGAAATGACGCCACTGCCCCTCATTTTACTTCCGCTGAAATTTGAAAATAAGGCGAAAAAGCGACGGTCAAAAGTCCTCCCGCTCTCTCTCTATATGCGAACGTAACCCGTGTGCGAAAAGTGTTCCCTCTCCCGCTCTGCGAACGTGCAACCACTCTGGGAAAACTGCTGCGTCTCTCGGTCTGCGAACGTGCTACCACTCTACGAAAAATCTGCCCTCTCCCGACTGCGAACGTGCTACCTCTGTGGGAAGATTCCTGCCTCTCGCAATCTGCGAAAAGTGTTCGACGTGGCCCCCAAAAATTCTATCAGCTTCAATCTGCGGGTTCGTGGTAATCACTAGAAGCGGAAGGAGAATAAGAAGAGGCCGACAAAGGAGGAAACTTGCAAGGCTATCGACAAAGAAGGAAGAAGCAGGGCGAGAAGAAGTCACTGATTTCCATTTGGTAAGCTTCGCGGTCCCCGTTAAATGCAGTAGATTTCTTGCATTTTGTTTTCATGGTAGGTTAAGGAGGAATGACCCACTGAAAGGTGGGTGTGTTTGGTAATGACATTTAGGTTCTAACCCAGGAATGATTACCAATGTGTCACATAGTGTTCGGCCATTTCCCTGACTGCCCTTTAGCAAATGCTCCTGATTTAGTGAGCGAACGCTTGTGAGTGTAGCATGAAGAGTTTGTGTGGGGGCTAAATAAGAAAGTTATTAATTATTTAGGGAAAAATTAGTGTTGGTAGTTAACTGCATTGCTATAGTGTTTGTAGGCATTTTGCAGGAATAAGGAAAAGAATTGGGAGGGGCAAATGTTGTCGTATGGATTAGGCAAATGAGTTTGTTTTGTTTGGTTTATCCCGTTGATCGTTGGAATGTGAGATTTTGTGGGCTAACAATGGGAGTTAGTCAATTGACGTGAAGAATTAGTTGACTAACCAGTTGCATGTGACAACCTCATGTGTGCATATATCTGTCAACTTAGGCAATTTACACGAAGAATCAGTAAATTACCAGCTATGTTTGTTGGAATCTGATTTGTAGTGGCCTCGCAAGGAAAATTAGGAAATTGACACGAGGAATTAGGGGTTTATCCAGTTAGCTTATGTCAAACAGTTTTCATGTTTCCGGGAATCTGTCAAGTTAGGAAATTTACATGGAGAATCAGTAAATTACCCAGAAAGTTTGTGGGAAATTGGTGTGCAGTTGCCTGACAGGGAAAATTAGGCAATTGACACCACGAGTGAGCTGGATTTCCACTTAGCTTATGTGTAACTGTTTGATGCGTGGTGGACTGAGAAAGTTAGGAAATTTACCTCGAAAATTAGTTAATTAACCACCTCTGCTGCATAATTGCATGTTTGTGGGAATGTGGTTTGCAGCGGCCTCACAGGGAAAATTAGGTGATTGAGACGAGCAATTAGGTGAATTTGCACTTAGCTTCTGTTTAAGTGGTTGATGTGTGGTGGACTCTGGAAGTTAGGGAATTTACATGAAAAATCAGTAAAGTAACAACTGGCAATTCAAAATTTCATGTTTGTTGGCATGTGATCCGTAGCGGGCCTCACAGGAGGAATTAGTCAATTGACACGAGGATTTAGGGGATTATCCGCGCAGCTCCTGTCTGACGGTTTCATATTTTTGTTGAATCTGTCAAGTTAGGAAATTTACATGGAGAATCAGTAAATTACCCACAAAGTTTGTGGGAAATTGGTGTGCAGTTGACTGACAGGGAAAATTAGGCAATTGACACCACGAGTGAGCTGGATTTCCACTTAGCTTATGTGTAACTGTTTGATGCGTGGTGGACTGAGAAAGTTAGGAAATTTACCTCGAAAATTAGTTAATTAACCACCTCTGCTGCATAATTGCATGTTTGTGGGAATGTGGTTTGCAGAGGCCTCACAGGGAAAATTAGGTGATTGAGACGAGCAATTAGGTGAATTTGCACTTAGCTTCTGTTTAAGTGGTTGATGTGTGGTGGACTCTGGAAGTTAGGGAATTTACATGAAAAATCAGTAAAGTAACAAAAACTCAATTCAAAATTTCATGTTTGTTGGCATGTGATCCGTAGCGGGCCTCACAGGAGGAATTAGTCAATTGACAAGAGGATTTAGGGGATTATCCGCGCAGCTCCTGTCTGACGGTTTCATATTTTTGTTGAATCTGTCAAGTTAGGAAATTTACATGGAGAATCAGTAAATTACCCACAAAGTTTGTGGGAAATTGGTGTGCAGTTGACTGACAGGGAAAATTAGGCAATAGACACCATGAGTGAGCTGGATTTCCACTTAGCTTATGTGTAACTGTTTGATGCGTGGTGGACTGAGAAAGTTAGGAAATTTACCTCGAAAATTAGTTAATTAACCACCTCTGCTGCATAATTGCATGTTTGTGGGAATGTGGTTTGCAGCGGCCTCACAGGGAAAATTAGGCAATTGACATGAGCAATTGGCAGAATTTTGACTGTTCGCCGGTGTAATTGTTTGATCTGTGTTGGAGTGTGAAAGTTAGGGAATTGACATGAAAAAGTAGTTAATTAACCACCTCTGTTGCATAATTTAATGTTAGTTGGAATCTGATATTTTGTGGCCTGACAATGAATGTTAGCTAATTTACACGAAGAATGGTGTCATTATCCAGTTAACCTGCATGTAACAATTTGATGTCCTGTCGTATGACAAGTTAAGGATTTAACAATAATAATTAGTGTGTATATAATTTCCGGGTTTATGTTACAAGAAATGTTTGGATGGTATGAATGTTGCTGTTTAATGTACTAACTAATGACTTTGTGATTATTGGATACAGGAAGAAGATGGGAAAAAAGGACGCACAAGTTACCGGCTGGAAAGTATTCAAGGGAGAATATTGGGAGCAAAAGAAGCAGGAGATGCATGGAAATATGGGAGCAATCATAGATGCGGCTTCAGCAATTTGGAGGGAGATGAGTGATGCTAACAGGGAGCCGTACAGGAAGAAGGAGGAACAGCTGATAGAGGAGAAGAAGAAGAAGGAGAAATATGTGTCCCCATTTTCTACTCGGTGCTCCCCCACAAAATTCAAGGAAGTGGCAAAGTTTATAAATGGCAAAGAAAATTTAAAGCGCAAGGTAGAAGAAATGGGGTTTGGTCATCTTCTTGGTATTACTTTGAATAAGTTGCCCAGAGATTTATGTCTGGAGTTGATTCATGCATATGACCCCCCAAGTAAACAAATTACCATAAGGGGGAAGACAAAGAAGGTCACGTGTACAGATGTTAGGAGGGTTCTTGGGTTACCAGATAAGGGCTCCAAAGTGAAGTTGGATGGCTTCAAGGATGAAGTAAATGAGCTGAAGAAGGACTATACTCCACTGACATATTCTCAAATTGCGGAGAAGATAAAGAGTGATGAAGAAGATGGAAACTTTGAATTCTATTTTGTTCTTTTCACAGTGGGCACTCTTCTTTGTCCCACGGGAAGTGCAAGTGTGAGTGACAAGGTGCTAAAAGTAATGGCCTGCACAGAAAATAACTGGAAAAAATTTGACTGGGCTTCCTTTGTGCTTGACGAGCTCAGTGAGGAAATTAAACGGTACAATAGGAGCAGTAAGGAAGGACAGACCGAGAGTGCCAGAGTCGTCGGAGGGTGCATCTACTTTTTATTGGTACTTGCATATTTCCTTACAAAATATGGCCTGTTGGATATGCTTTGAACATTAAACTGTTGATGTATTATGTAATTTGAGTTTTGAGTCATATTTTTTCTTTCTCTGCAGTTGCACTTCCTGCAAAGGTTCCCTCTACAGGGAGGTGAACCAAAAGACAAAGACGCCGTCACACATTGGGATGATAAGGCTGTGAAGAGGAGAATTGATG